TGTTATCTTCCCTTTTTTGCTTCTCTATTTTCTTCTGTTATTTTTTTTCCTCTTTTTTTCTGTCCTTCCATCATAGGAGGGCAGAATTCCTGGCCCTTTTTTCAGATTAGCTGTTACTAGTAATGTTTTCCCTTGCTAACCCATTAGCAGCTAACCCATCAGCAAGTTAACATCATTCTTAGTACCTGCTTCTTTCTTAAGTATGTGCGAGTTTTATGCTCCTAAACTGAATGTAAGTTTAACCTTTTGGTCCTTCGTTATCTTTTTTACTTCTTTGCTGAAATGAAGAGAAATTTACCCTTCTGATTTTGCCAATAATTCCAGCCTGGATTCTTATCTCTGTAAAGCTGGGTTCTAGTTTGTGAGCTAAGTTTAAGTCTTGCAGCTCACACTACATTAGTTCTCTTTCTAAGAATCATTTTAGTATGTGTAAGGAAGTCTTTACTAATGTTATTATAATTGTAGTTGCCGGAATGTTTGTTATTCTAGATATAAAATACGTTGTTGAGACTGGGTTCACTCCCAACAAAGTTCATTTTGGTAGAGCTTTTCTGCGTGGGCAGGCAACAAGGAGGACAGCGTTTTTATGGATTTGGAAAGCTTTGATAAGATGTTTAAAGAACCTCATGGAAGACGACCCTAAATCTAAATCCCTCTATTTCTAATAGGCAGAAAATGCAATTAACCATCTTTCCCTGGAGTGGTAATACAGCAGGCTCCAGCAGGTGTGTTACTATTGCAGTATCAAAATAAAAAGTCTAGTCAGCCTTTTGCTATAAAAATAAGTGAAATGCAGAGCAGATGCTGTAATAACCATTAATTACATTCACCACCTATATTTGTTATAAAAGTAGATGAGGACACTGGAAAAACAAGTTATTTTTGGCTCTTCCACGCAATATCACAAGAAAGCTACTGTAATGTGTTTAGTAGAGCAATGAATACATATTGGCCAAATTTATCTCTGCTATAACCCTGCAGAAATGTAGAATGAATTTAGTCCTAAATTCCACTTTGTGGAAGGGAGGATAAAATTAGAGGCATTTATTGAACATCACCTGAAGTTTTACGGAATCTGGTACCGAACTAACTTTATAAAACTTCACAAGGGAAACAGAATATGCAGACTGTACCTAAATGTTACTGCTCAGAATCTATGTTAATCCGTTCCTGTTAGGAACAGGTTTGAATGAGCTGTGTAATAACCTATGACCAGAGGAACTCAAAAGGACAGTAGCATTTCTTGGATGTGATTTCTGTAAGACTTCTGTGCTTAGTCCTCAGGTTTTTGTACTGATTTAACAATATGGCATGTTCCTGCATGAGCCACATGTAGGCGTAGACACATGGCTACTGGGTGAAAGGGCCAACAGTACCTTAGATTGCGCAGTACCTTTCAATTGGGGATGTTTTGCTGCAGTTCCTTTCGATTGGGGCTGAATTGGTGCATTTACAATTAAATGAACTTTGCCATAGGTCAGTTTAAGCGTGCTATTTACTAATTTTGAGAGGTGAAAGCAGAAAGCTCAACCAGCGTTGTTGGTTTCCAAGAACGGTTGAAAGTTAAAGCACAGCGTTCAACTCCTGAAGTATTTTGTCTTTAAACACATAGTACCTGTGTCACCTCTGTCTTTGCTGTAATATTTGACATCCCTTACTACTAATGGCAAAGTATAAAAACAAGTGAAATAATTTCAGATTGATTCCTGGTTTCATTTTTTCCATGAAATACTGGTTTGAGTGCTCTGCAGAGTTGTGTTTTTATATTGAGGCTACAATCTAACAGATCGCTGTTCTTAGAAAATCAGGGCATTAAGTCTTTTTCCTCTCTGATTGTTATTCATACAGGTGGATGCTTTTGGTATTTTGCTTTTATTTGCCTGTATTACAGATCTGATTTTTGGGAAGGCCCTATATGTATATCTGCCTCAGTTTTGAACGGACCCTTGATTAATGTCTTTTACTGGTGGCTTGCTAGACCTGTGAAACACATCAGTGGGAGTTGTTTCAGGCTGGCTGTGAAGCCAAGCTCTTGTGGGTTTCCGGCTAAGAGAAAAAAGCAAATTATCAAAGGATCACTTTAGTAGAAAAAATCGTTTTAGTGCCGCCGTTGTTGAAAAGTTCAAAGGTTTTTCTTTTCCCTCCTGATTTTTCAGTGAAAACAGCTGAGCAAATTCACCACAAATTTCCTGGTAGATTCAGTTCAAGGTAGGCGTTTTTCAGAGAAAAAAACCATTGGGCTTGAAATCTGTTTTTCTAACTGGAAGTGTTACCATTGTGCTGTGTTATTTTTTAGTAAAAGAGCCAGTGCTTAACAGTTTCATGCTGAGAATTTTGAGTGGAGTGAGATAAGTAGTCAGACAGTGACTTGCAGTGATGCTCCCCCAGCAATCACATATACAAGAAGAAGATGGCATCTGTGTATGTGTCACTTTTCAGTGGCCATGTGTGTTAGCAGGGTTCTGGCTTTAACCCTGACAAGGAGGGATATTCACACAACATGACTGTGGCTATTTTACATTGCCAGTTGCTTTCCCTGTACTCTTTTGGTTGTCAGTAGAAAGCAAATACTTCTCTGGAGGGCAATTCAGAAAAGGAGCCTAATTTAGTTGTGCAGAATTGGTCTCTGGAGAATCTCCACTTCTCTCCATTGACTGTAAAGGGCATCTAAATTTGGGCTTAAAGATAGATGGTGGGAATACTTCCTTCTCTTTTTTTTTTCTCCCAGCTTCCTCAGTAGTTCTGACCTGATTTTAAAGGCCCTGAGTAACTGGATCATGTCATGTTTCTTCTTGAGAGCTGTCAACACTCAAATGCACACAAGGGAAAGCATTTCACAGGCCAGACTTGAAGGGCCTGGATGCTTAGACTCAGTGGATTTAAAAGACATAGGATCCAAAGGTTGAATCGCTATTAACCAACTGGTAATGGACTACAAACATAATAATTGTTACAGGAGCTATACCAAGAGTGCAGATTTGATCTTGAGCAGCTACCTGGGGCAGGAGTGGGGGGGAAACACATGCCAGGTTGTGGACAGGTATTTATATACAAACTGCTGTCTGGAGAGGAAACTAACTTTGTTTGCATTGAGCACAAAGCCACAGAATGGTGCTTCCAAGAAAATGACAGTCCAACAAAAGTTACATCTACATCAACAGGTAATGCAGTATAAAGCGAGTAGATAGGTGGGAGGAAAGAATGGGTATTGAGCATCTCACATCCACTATGCTGAGTTCAGGGGGTGAGGCTGTTGGGGCAAGGAGGGCTGTTGTTCTTTGGACTAGCTTTAATCTGGTCCTGTGGACTGCAGCACTTGAGTGGCTGGTTGCATTTGGTGCTCTGAGCATACATTCTGATGCAGTTTTGTCCTAAAGGAATCCACAAGGTACATCGCAGGCTAGTACAGTGATGACTGGGAGATGCGCATCAGAAATGCTTTCTGGATCCAAATCAAATTGCTAATGTAGGCCTACCCAAAGACACTTTAAAGGGACAGACATTTATTTTAAGCTTCCTGAATGCCCTTTGTACAGCTGAGTAGAGTTGCTTGAATATTTTAATCAACTTTGTTAAACTGAAGAAAGTTAATTTCCTTCAGAACACTTCTCTCTAATTTTTCCTTCATCCCCCCCTCTCTAATTCAGTGAACTCCTTTGCCTGCCCTTAAGAACATCAGAGCCTGGTACCTGACTACCTTACATCCCAATGGTCAGTTGGCTGCAGCATGCCATAGGATGAGATGTTACTCCTGGTTTAGCTATATTTTGTATTTCCATTGAGCAGAAATCAGAAAGTACCCAGAGCTGGAAGCAATGTGAGTGACACACACAGATCTTTCACAGAATAAGGAAAGGAAGAAAGGTGACTGTAATAAAGGATCAAGCTTGCTGTATTGCGGCTTGTACCTCTGAGAGAGAGAAGAGTATTACTGTCTGGTAAGGACTGCAGAGCTTCAGCCAGTGATGAAGTATTTCATGAACTCTGAACTAAAACCCCAATTCAGACATGTCTTAGTTACCTTGAAGGGATGCCAACAGGCAATCTACACATGGTAGCAGAAAATCCATTTTCTACTTTTGTAATTTTTTTTATTATACATTTTTGTCCCTTTTGCTTTTATGTGTTTTCTTTGGTTACTTTAGTACAAATCATGAAACAAATACTACAAGCTAAAATGTTTGTAGTATGTACTCCCTCTTATCCTTTATGTACAGCACCGTAGCCTAATGGCATGTATGCCCTTCAAGATTCCCATTAGCTTTGTGAATAGCACAAAACAAATATTACCTTATGCTCCAGACAGGATAACATCTAAAGGCATTAACTCCACAAGAACTTGGCCAGATTTTCAAGTATGGGTAATTAATGACCTACAAACCCTTACAAACAGCAGCTTTCTCCTGCTGGCCTACTGTTGCTATCCGCTGGAGATGAGGCTTTGGAGAAATAATCGTCAGCCAATACCATTCAGGCATTCACCCCTCTCCTGAGACTCACAAAGGGTGATGAAGTACATGTTTGTGTGCTTTTTAATGTGACCAACAGACACTCCATGGTGACCACAAAGAGTATCTGAAAGACAGAAAACAACAACCTAGGTGGTTTTTGAAGCAGGAGTGACCTGAAGTGGATGTTTTCAAACTGTGAATCTCCTTTATACCTGTTGTGTGTCAGGTACATTGCGCTTTAATCAGGATTTCAAAAGAGTACAAACAAAAACGTGGGTAGGAAAATGAAGAATGTGTTACTGGCCTTGCCTAAAATTCAGAGGTAGCAGAGAACTCGGCAAAGAAATGCACACCCTTGCACACTTGCAAATCCCATTTATAAATATTGCAGCAGAGGAAGGTAAAAATGTAGTCATTTGTGATTTCAATAATTCATATCAATACACAATTCATGAATTCAGTATTTGCACATTTGGAGAATGCTATAGCCGAAGGGGATCTACGGGGAATGCAAGAGATGGGTAAGTAATGGCTTCCATGTCTTTTCAGCACCTTGGAAGAGTAAGTCAGCTACAAAATTCAAAGATCCAGGTGATTCCTGGCATTAAAACTGCTGCCAAATACATGAATGAATGCAAGTCATAAAACAAGAAAAAAATGACCCATGAACCTGAGTGTTGAAAACTGTGTAAACACTGAATTTGTAACTCTTAAGTCTGCAGATACATCTTCTTACACACAAAAGCAACTATTAAAAGGTATCAGCAGCTCACTTTGATTTTAGTACTGTAGTACGTGTGTGTGTGTGTATATTTGTTGGGTGCATAAAATACTTTATCTATCTATCTATCTATCTATCTATCTATCTATCTATCTCAATAGATTCCATTTCCAAAGCAATGTATATCAAAATGCCATGTGCTATGTAGTCCACTGCAAACCTTCCAAGGACTCATAATAGTTTTGGGGCAATAGGACTTCACCAGGGGATGTAGTGACCAGTAACTAGGAGAGTGGGGAAAGTGCATCATTATCACTTTGTAAATCTGACTCTGAGGTATATAAGGTTCTTGATAGCTTTGGGATATAGCAATGTCAGTAGCAAGAGACTTTGCTTCTGTTGGATTCTTTTTTAACTATTTTTTATTTCCATGTTTCAAAATTAGGGATGTTGGGGTGTGTTTTGATGGGAAGCAGGGCAGAGTCTCTTCTGCTGGCAGACCAGTGTGTCATCTGTCATGCTTGGTGGCAAAAGAGCTTTCTTTTCTCAACATGAAACGCAGTCGTTGCCAGAGGTAGGAACTTGGGCTTGGCTCTGATTTATTTATGTTATTTTTCTCATGGAAAAATGAAAAATTCAGGCAAATACCTTCCACAGAAAACGGATGGCCAGCTGAGAAACAACAGTTGAAACAAGGTGAGGAGATTAGAGGGGTTTAGTCTTTTGAAGAAAGATTTGATTACATTTTTCTAGTTGTCACGATTATTGATGGTTTAATTTGTAAGTCTTTTTGTGCCAACTTGATTTTCATTGATGACATGAAAATTTTATGACTCAGAAATTACTTTTCATTTTTATAGGTGATTTTAAAGGGAATTTTAAAAATAAAACTTCAAAGCTCCTGTTAAACTGAGTAATTCCTGCCTCAACTGTAACTAGTGTTTATATTCGTACGTTGATGTAGACACTGCAACCACTTTCAACGCAACCGGATAATTCTGGCTGCTGTGATTTGTTATCGGTATATTGCCACAGTCACTGAACAGTAGAGGGGAGGTGATGCAGTTGTTAAAACCCACCACCGTGCTTATTTTCGGAGTCATCACAAATGGTAGTGCAACAGCAGATGGGAAATCTTCAGAAAGTTCTCCTGCAAGTGTAGCTTGAGCTGCTTAATGAGAAATGGAAATCTCCTGCTGAATGTGCTTTCAGTTCTTCTTTTAATAAAGGGTAAGAAAAGCCCCGAGAATTATTTCTTGTTTGGCTCTGAAAGTGTCATTCAGAAACACAGCATCACAATGAGGGGCTCTACTTTATGTATGTTTTTTCTTCCAAAGAGGTAAACTATTCAAGTGAGCCATCAAGGAGACAGAATCTGACTGATTAAAGCATCTTCTCGCAGGGAAAAAATAATTGGCAGTTACATTTTTTTGTTTGATACAGCTCTGCCCTAAAAATTGAAAAGAAAAAATCCTTTTAGGATGTGTTGTTGAGAGTTGTGTTTTATAATGCAGGCATTATAAATTACAAAGAAATAAAATGAAGATGCTAGTCATGTCCTTATTCAGATAAGCTGTGCTCTCATGATTAATCATGTCACCAGAAACCCATGTAGTCTATAACTGCTTGTCTTATTTATCTGTTTATTGGGCTATCAGATGTTCCCATTTTATTAAGTGCTTGCTCTCTACTGAGAAGGTACTTAACATTTTGCATCACTGTGGGCTTTTTCCAGGGCTCCAAGCTCCACAGCTTGGTAGCCCTATTTAGTTTCTGCTGTCCTTCAGGCAACACCATCTGTCAGAAGCTCTTCAGTTCCCACATCAGGGCCTTGTCACCTGTGAGGACAAAATTCTGATTATAAGGCCTTCATTAGGTCTAGGGTGAGGCATCCCTGCCCATGGCAGGGGTTGGAACTGGATGAGCTTAAGGTCCTTTCCAACCCAATCATTCTGTGATTAGGGGCTGTACTTCTTTCAGTATCTAAGTTACCTGTAGGAGCTGTCCATAAGGGTAGACTCTCTAAAATCTAAATGTCCCCTTTCTCCCTGTAGCACCCAGCACATGCCAACTACATGACAGCATGAGGATGTCTCTGCCTCAGGGGAGAACTTTCTGTTTTGAAAAGAAGGTTTCTGAGGGTAGTTCAATGTATTTTCCTTCAGGGTACAGTACTTCCCAGATGCAAGTTCACAGTCTAAGCCCTAGGCTTGCTCTGTAGTCAAGGAAGGATTTCCAGAGGGCAGATCTGAGCCACAGCTAGGCTGACTTGTCCTCTGGAAATGCCTCTCTGTTTCTCCCCACTGTAGTAAGAGCCCAAGGTGATCAAAGTTACCACAGAGGAGCAAAGAAGTGGAGCAACCAAAAGGGTTTAGTTTGGCAGGAGAGCTGCAAGATGGGGGTAGCAGAGGGGCAGCAGCTTCTGATCAGACTGTCATAAAGTGACAGGAACTTGAATTATTCTGAGTCCTAAAGGACAGGAAAGCAGAGGAATTCACAGCTGGAAATGACTTTTTAGAAACATTACTGAACATTAAAAAATGTGACTTGAAGGATAGAACAAACAGGGCAAAACGCATCCTGTGTTCCTACCCTTCATTCTTCCAGGTCAGGAATTATTAGTCTCTTAATTTCTGTGCATGGTCCTGGCAGCTGACATTTTCAGAGGGAAAATTGCTGGTTTGTAAGGAAGGAAAAGGGAAATCGGGAATGAAAAAGACGAAGCCGGAAATACTATTAGTTCCAAGAGATATGGGAAGTGAGTAAGCAGGAGAGGAAGAGTCAAAAGAGCAGAAGAGGATCTTGATGTGATTAAATTAATTTGCTGAAATTTCACCAAATTAGTTTGCTTTTGAAACAGTCATATGCATAGGATGCATGTTATGTGTGTGCACATAAGTAGGATACAATGCATAGGGTACACGATATGCATATACATAGAAAAAGGATAAAATCAAGGAAAGCAAAATCTGTCACCTCCCAAGGCTGTATTAGTTATTCATTAACTAGTTTTTATCAAGACAACTTGTTCTTAAAAACTCCCATTGATGAAGGATCCCCAGTCTTGCCTGGCAGTGTATTGCACTGTTCAGCCATCATTATTTGTTTTCCTAATAGCTACTACAAATCTTACTTGCTGCAGTTTAAATCCATTCTTTTGTGTCCTATTCACTGTGGAGAAGGAGTAGCAGGACATGCTTCTCCTGTTTGCAACAGTCTGCTACATATTTGAATAGTTATCGTGCTAACTCTAAGCATTCTTTGCTCTAGCCTTTGCACTCCTCACTTACTCAGATATATGTCCTAGGCTGTTGTTACAGCCAGCTGTTTTCCATATTTATTCACAAACGTACTCAAAACTGCCCAGAAAAGTCTAATCAAGACCATCTATCTCAGTTTCTGAATGATGTGAAAATATGTCCATATGCTGAACAGGCAGCGCTCCCATTTGCATGTCCCAGGGTGATGCCTACCTTATTTGTAATGGGAGACCATTATTAATCCACCTCTTTAAAGTCTACTCTAATATCCTGATATTTTTTTCCATGGTTAAGCATATAACTTCCTGTCTTACGGGTGAAACTGTTCAACTGATACAGACACAGTTGAAGGTACTGTACAGAAGTACTCTACCTTGTACTTCCTGTCATATAAGTGCCTTAGGGTTTTTTTTTCCTCATTCTGTCCCAATCTCTAGTGTGCTTGCAGCTACATCCACCTTGAGCTCACCAGAAAATGTAATAACTATGTTCTCCATTTCATCATTCTTGGCACCCCTGCAAACAGTGACTGGCCTGGGACAAACCACTGTAATATCCCTTAATACAGTTACATCAATAGCCAGCCATTAAAATTGCACTCAGACTATCCTTTTCCAAACAGTTGCGTGCCCACTTTTGAGTGGTTCCATCAGGAAGCAATGATGCATCTTATACAACTTTTTCCAGTATGTCCAGTTCAGCCTCAGCTTTCGTTTTTGGCTGCACTTCATAATGAACTCTAGTATTTGTACCGCTGCCTTCTATCTTCCTGGCTGGCTGAATAAGGGCCTGATTATTTTCCAACAACTTTTGTAATTATCCTTGAAGAACTGAATTGCTATCTGTTACGTACAGTCCATCTGTCATTATGATAACTGTTCCCCTCCTCATAATATTTCCATGTGGGCTTTAATTGGCAAGCTTTTGTAGCTTGGCAAAGATTTAATGAACTTTTCCTCTACTCTGAAGAACAAATTTCAAAGGCAGGAACACTAACAAGTATAGCTGCTACTCGCCCAAGATAAAGGTGTCTCACTCATAACATGCTCCGGGTTTATGATCAGGTATTTCTTTACTGATGCAAGATGTTGCAAAAATAGGCAAACCTGACTTTTCTAGCATATGCTTTTCTACGCAGCCACCTTTATTTGGATAAAAAAGGCTGTGGAGAGCTCTCACAAGGCAACTTCACAGCCTTTGCTATACAAACCCTGTGTAACTTCAGGGCGTGTTGTTTCAGGTTGCTGGCTGGACTGAAGGTTGCAGCTTGTGATGTTAGATGGCTCTGTGCTGTGCCTGCTCCCACCTTGGAATAAAGTCACTTCTCTCAGAAAATATATTGCAAAAATTTCATTGAGAACAGTTTAGAAGAAAAATGCCTGCAAGTATATTAAAGCATAAATCTTCTGCTAGCACCTTATAACAAAGGTCTGCTAGGCCAGCATCTTGGATTTAAAATCCCAAGTAGGTTGAAGGTAATTATGATCACGTATAGGCAGCACTGTACGTCATGGCTCATATAATTAGAGGTCTTATTTCTCCACAGACTAATCAGAATGTAGCAAATCCTTACAGACTGCAACACCTTCCACTTTGATTCTTCAAGTGTTAATTAAGTTTCCAAGGCCTCTCGGAATGTCCTTTTGTGGTTTCATTTGTTTGTTTGTTGGGAAGGGGGAGATAATGCTTGTTTGTGGTTTGGTTTTGATTTTTTGTAGAGGCAAGAAGCTCTGGCCAGAGCTGTTGTGTGGCTTTAGGTGGGAACTTTACATGAAAGAGCTCTGGTGTTGCGATTGTTAGTACCCAGCTAAATCCATCAGAGTGCATTTCCTTTTTCTGAAGTAGGAGCATTGCATTAATTTGATTTCTAGTTAACTGTAGCAGTAGAAGTAGTAAAAATAGATTATTTCTTAAAGTATGGGAGAGTTTTCATTTTAGAGGCCATTTAGGCATTGCTTATTTAGCAATCCATAATTTGTTATTTGCATCTATCTCTGTGCTCTGCAGAAGAATTAACACTCTGCCTTGAAGCGTACTTCAGATTTAGGTGATGACGGTGGTTCAGGAGTATAAGGGCTCTCTCCTCATTCTGAGTCAGGGATGAGAAGTACAGAATACAGTAGAGAATATATATTGTTGTAAGCACCAGCTCTTTGATAAGATATAGAAGAGGGATTATGGCTGTTAGGCACTTCTACTGTCACTTTTGAAAAATGCAATATTATTATTCCTTATGGCTAGGGACTTCAGATCTAATAACTTTATTCTGCATGCAGTTAATCTAATTTTTGCCTATTTTTTTATCTAATACTTT